ATGTTCATTGTTTCAAAAAAAAATGTACATGATTTAAGAGTAACGATTTAGTAAAAATAAAACCACAATTTTGGAAACAATGTTCATCATTCAAAAAAAATACGATTTTAGAAACAAATCGCGAATTAATAGATTTTCAGAAATTGAAATACAAGAATAAAAACGAAAACATAAAAGTAAAGAAAAAATGAAAAGAAAAACATAAAAAGGAAAAGAAAAAAAAGAAGAAAAGAAAAGAAAAACATAAAAACCCGTTTCAGGGAAGGTTCTAGAACCTGCCCAAAACCGGTTGGGGTTAAACCCCGAAATGGGCCGGCCCATAGAAACAGCAGCGCCGTATAGGATCCCCGGATGTACCTCAGTACGCTGCATCACGAGAGCTGCTACTACTTGGGCTATGGGCCAGCCCTAATGACCTTATTTTTTACTGCACCCATGAAATTATAGGCTAATGCAATACATAATTGGGGGCCCCTCCACAGTGGGGGCCCGGGGCGGCCACCCCCTGCCCCCCTCAGGGCCGGCCTTGAGAGAAGGGCAGCAGGCGGCCACGGTAAGCAGCGATCGATCTGATCCATCGCAAGGCACAACACCCGCTCGGGGCAAGGCCAGGATGTCATGGGCTAGGCTTTTTAATTCTGTACGTTGTAATTCCAGCGGCGGCTAATTTAAGTTAGGGTAATTACAAAAAACCAGTGTCGCCTTTTGAACCCCCTGCCTGCCAACTAGTTGTACTAGGTAGATGTCCAAATGATGCTCGTCCATCGATCTTCTTTCCTTTTCTTTTCTGAAACTTGGTTGTCGGACATGTGCTCTTCATTGGGAGTGCCTTGAGACTGGCTGCACGATGACTTCGTCTTTGACTGAGAAAAAAGCGGTCAGGACTCCCCATTGGTATTTTCCATACACACATTTGGTATTTATTATTACTGCAATACACTGCTTAACTGCTCAAGCACGCAAACATGTTGTGTTGGTCCTGACTTGTGAGCCACTATATGCCTCACGCATCCCCTCCAATTAGTTTATGGCTGGTCGCTATACCGTGATAGACGCCATCCGTCTCTAACTTACCAACTAATAAAAATATCTCAAGTGAAATGCGCCATTAATCCATTAACTTAAAATGATTGCACACTTTAGGCCACAACTGAGGAGGTGATTGAATTTAGGTCATAAACTTGTTTATGCGATTAAGAAAACCGATTCGAGAGGAGAGAAACATGGCTGCCATGTTGGTGTACCTTCGATCCCTCGTAATTGGATCAATTTTTACTGCAAAATCATAACGGTGAGTAGATGCTGGGCATAACTGTCAATAGATCCAGTACTTTTTTGACTGAGCCACGCCACCATCAACAGCATTAGGGGCATGGCCAGTGGGTAGCCTCAACCTGCTACTCCACAAGGCCATGTAGTAGATCAACACTCTGTTTTTACAGGATCAGACATGAAGCATGATTGAGGAGAATTTCATGAAGATTTTGCAGTACTCTTTTCTGTTCCAGTAATATGCACCAGGGCACCAAACTAGTGCCCTTCTGTGCCACATGTACACAATATAATCACTCCTGTACCACATGTACACAATATAATCACTCCTGTACCACATGTATACAATATAATGGCACTTGTACTGCCATTTTACTGTCACTTCTTTATCGTTACAAACTGCTCAACTTATCAATGCCATTTTACTGTCACTTCTTTAGCATTACAAACTGCTCAACTTATCAATGTTCCAGGTACATCGATATAGTCTATAGTATACCATCAGGACAGAAAGCCTCCTTCACACTTCACAACTGGAAATCAGAGATAGCAGTTTTCGCATCTAACCCGATGGAGTAGTAATGTTTGATGTAATCTCTGACGAGGGTCGCCCTGTACAACGGTGGACTCTCATCGGACAGCAGCTGCTTGATCGGACCATACATTCTCGTAGAGGCAGGGTGGAAATGCGTGCTGAAGAAGCACGCGATTGAGACCCTTGGTGCGGTGTTCTTCGCCACCACCCTATGCTCCACGCTCCTGAACCCGTCGTTGGAGATCAGCTGGACATTTTGAACAAAACTATCAGTTCAACACTACCACGAGTGATTGATCAATGCTTGCCTTGAACGAATAATTCTGCTTGGAATGTGCACAGTGTACCTGTAAGAGATCGCCGATGTTCACGATGAATGCTCCAGGTGTTGGCGTGACGTCTACCCACCGGTCCTCGCGGAGGATCTGGAGGCCGCCGATTTCGTCTTGGAGAAGTATGGTGAGGAAGCCAGAGTCTGAATGCCGGCTTGTCCCGATGGCGAGTTCAGGCTGTGGGCACGGAGGATAATAGTGGCAGAGTATGATCTGTCCTTGGTTGCACTCTATATCAGTCAAGTAGCTCGGTTTGAGCCCAAGAGCTTCTGAGAGCAGCTCGAATAAAGTGCTCCCCAAATTCTTCACTTGTTCGGCGTATTCAAACAGAGCATCGCTGTGAATCAACATGTTAGTGCTGAGTGTTTTTTAGAACACGTGATTTAAGTAACCTTTCCTGAATATTCACAAAGAAAGACCTATAGAAAGTAATTTGACTACAGAATTTAGCCCTTGTCATTTTGTCAATAACGAAGGAAGAACTTATACCAACAATATATCCTCCATATAGGTATAAATTATAACGTTACTACTAACTGTAAATCGCTCCTGTCAGAATAATGCAGAGAAAGAGAGCAACTGGGATCTATTTGTGGGAAGAAAAAAAATACATATTGCACATAGTCTATCATCAGGAAAATAGAAAATAAATAATGAATAGTAAATCAGTAAATCTCATCAACTTACTATGGTTCAACAAGAAATTTCATTTCAATTAGAAATAGCACAGTCCCATTCTTAAGCATTAACAGAACATGTAAACTGGTTACATTCCCACCATGAAAAGCATGTTACCATCAGTATGGTGGTTCCCTTCCCACTTCAATTCCAAAACTGCGGCATTTGTTGGGTTCTACCTTGCGTGGATACTTCAGAAAGCGCGCGTATCCAGCCGGATACTGCCCCGATACGGCCTGATACGTATCCCGTAAGTATCCCTCATTTTTTGATTTAAAAAAAAGAAAATAATGTTTGATACTCCTAGGATACTTCTGCGATATGTTTTGGATACCTGAAACCCCTCGTTTGACATGAAATCCCCTTAATAGTAAAGGTACACGTTATGAAGATTCCCAACATGGGCGTGAGTTCGTGTCAAAACATGTCAGTCAATGTTCTTCTTCAATTGAAAGGTGAGCAAGAGAGTCGATGCACTGATTGAAACAGGAAACCTAGGAAATCCCACTCCCAATTAATGGAAGTGGACCAAGTTTAAGAAAAGAAAGGGGGTAATCCTATTGAGGCATGTTTTGACCACGAAGCTCCTTATTTTTCTTCATATTTTTAATTATATGTAATATCTATATATAAACGTATCCCCATATCCATGTTTTTAGAAAATTAGAGTATCGGGCGTATCCCCGTATCGCATATCCGATACGTATCCAAGTATCCGTGCAACGTAGGTTGGGTTAGCAATAGGACAAAATGAGTACTATCAACATTGGGTTGATTTGGTATAAATGATCAGCCTATCAGAACAGAACTATGTATACTCCCTCCGTTTCTAACTATAAGACCTTTTAGAGATTTCAACACGGACTACCTATGGATGTATATTGACCTATTTTAGAGTGTAGATTCACCCATTTTACTCCGTATGTAGTCCGCATTGGAATCTTTAGAAAGGCTTATACTCCCTTCATTCCTAAATATAGTGCGCATTAGTTTTCTAGGGAAATTCCATATTGTAGTGCGTAGTTTGAGTTCAATCCATTTCTGGACGAAATTAGCCCTCCACCAACCCATCAAACGCATAGCCTCCCTCCTTTCAAAATATATTGACGCGTACAAATCAGATGGGACAGAACCAGATGGAGGGAGGGTGCCGTAGTTTCCCTCTAGTTTTCTAATCTACTGACGCGTTGGGCACATGGAACCTGGAACAAATCGATTGGGGCTTTCTCGTTCAAAATATATCGCCATCACATGCATTGGTATGTGGGCTTCTATCTATGCGCATTATATTTAGGAATGAAGGGAATATTTAGGAACGGAGGGAGTATAAATTAATTTACATGTTTGTTAGAAAAAAAACATCCAAATGAAAATTTATGCTACAAATTCAATTCAGCATCGCGTTGATTTGGTATCAAACTGAAAGTCATTTATCTATTTGCACATATACAGAGTAGTTTGAAATACTAGTTGAGAAGTTGAGGTAAAACTTTCAAGGCTTCCTTTTGTTCCCATTTTGTGTGTGGTTGCACTTGATATGTCCCTAATATTTTGTGATAACAAAAAAAAAAATGGATCTGCTATCGGTTGTGGTTGTGGCTTTATCTAGACTATATGTATAAAGCGGGGCAAAAGCCCTTTCTGGTGGTTCATGGGGATTTGGTACATATTTCTCTCAAGCACACTCAAATGCATAATTAATTATTGGCATAAGCAATTGCACATCTTCTCGCAAAAAAAAAAAGCAATTGCACATCCGAAGATCAATCCCGTGAATTCTAAGCACAAGCAACAATCACACAATTGACTATTGATCATCTAATCAAGCTCAATTTGTAAATCAGGCGGTTAACCAGAGCACTCCGGTTCTCAATTTATTGCAAAATCACCATGTACTAGGAGGAATTACAGTCAGGTAAGCTGCGGGGCACTTACCGGCAGCTGTCCGGCAGGTCGCCGGCGTCGGGCGGGTCGGGGGCCATGCGGAGGTAGAGCGTGTCGCGCCAGTTGGCCACCGGCGACTGGTACAGGTCGAAGTTGCAGTGGTACTTGACCGCCCTCGCCGGCTCGCGCGAGTAGAGCCTGGTCTTGTCGCTGCCCTCGCCGCCGTCGGCCTCGTGGAATCCCCGCACCGCGTCAGTCGCCGCTGCCATCGCCGCCTCCGGCACCCCGTGCCCCGTCACCTGGAAGAACCCCCACTCTGCCGCGGCCCGGCGGACCGCCGCGACCACGGCCGCGTGGTCGGAGCCGCTGAGGTCGATCACCGGGACGGACGGCACTGACGAGGACGGCAGTTCTTGGGATGGAACTTGCGGTGGCGGTGGTTGTGGTTGGTGGACGCCGTCGGACACGCGGAAGATGCGGGGGAGGTGTGTGACGCCGGAGGCGACGAGGCCGCGGACGCCGGAGCAGGTGGCGTCCAGCGCGCGGAGGTCGGCCGTGCGGTCGTATTCGGCGGCCATGGCCGACGCCGTCGAGGTATCGTCGGCTCTTCTCTGCAATTCAAGCTTTGACTATGGACCTTCTACCAATGGTAGTAGTATTATAAAATCATCCGAACAACAAATCATCTACTACTCCCTTTGTATGATATGAATATCTTATATTAATTTACAGAGGGAGTAGTTTTTGGTTTTGTAAGCTTTAAGACTGACAACCGACGTACTCAATAGTGAAAGCCTAACAAATTTGGTCCTTTGAAAGATTATGATGGGCATGTGTCAGTCGAATGACATTAACAACCCCATCAAAACAGAAAAGAATAATACAATAATAATGATAATATTTGAAAAGTTATGAATTTTAGGGAATAACCATCAAGTTACATAGGGTTGGACCCTCCTCCTTTCTTCGGCTTGGGACCGGGTACGAAAAATATTAAGCGCAAGCTTATAATAAAATAAAACATAGGCAGACTCCCCCACCTTGCACAACACTAAAAAATCCACCCACCAACCAAAAGAAAAATAAAAATCATAAATCCTAACACCTATGTATTTTTATTTTTCTCTTGACACAACATGCCAAAAGGCTCTACAAGGTGGTCATTTTTTTGGGTTTTAAATGGAAAAAATATACTTTGAGAAATAATCAGCAAAAATCAAGCGAATTAAAGAGCACCTATGTATTCTCTCTCTTTTTTTAGTCCGAAAAAGGAATTAGAGTGAGAAATAAAAAATGACAAAATATTATAAAAGATCTAATTTTTTATTTTCTCATATACTTTTCCCCCTTTTTCTATTTATTTGCTTAAGCCAGGAAATAAGCTCAACTAGTAACGAGTGAATATTTTTGCAATTTTTTCATATACTCTTTTCCTTTTTTACCTGTTTGAGCAAAGAAATAAGCTCATGGAGTAATGATTGTTGGTTGATCCCGAATGCGCATGGTTTGCAATTCTCTCTCTCCTCCTCTCCGCTCTACTCTTCCTTCTTTACAATTCTTCTCTGGTCTACTTTGTTGTCTACTTTTACCAAAGATTAAACTTTAACTGTTGATCTTCTACTAATGACAGTATTACCAAATCACCCGAAAAACAAATCTACCATTGCTGATCCTGCAAAAATCACACAATCAACATCAACACTTATTATCTAGTTTTGGTTTGTAAGCTTTAAGACTGAACAAACAACACACTCAATATTCAAAAGCTAACAAATTTGGTCCATTGAAAGATTATGTTGGAGATGTGTCACTCGAATGACATTGACAACCCCATCAAAACAGGAAGAACAATAGAATAATAAAGAACTAAAATATCTGAAAATTCATGATTTTGTTGGCAATAACCATCAATTCATATAGGGCTGGACCCTCCTCCTTTCTCCAAGCTTGGGACTGTCTATGAAAAATATTAAGCGCAAGCTTAAAATAAAACATAGGCGGACTTTCCCCACCTTCCACACCCCTAAAACATCACTAACAAAAATAAAAATATAATAAAATCATAAATCCCAACACCTATGTTTTTTCTCTTGACGCAATATGCCACTAGGCTATACAAAGTGGTCTTTTTTAAGTTAAAATGGACAAAATATACTTTGAGAAATAATCAACAAAAGTCAAGTAAACTAAAGTGCACCTATGTATTCTCTCATTTTTTGTTCGAAAAAGTAAGTAGAGAAAAAAAATCACAAAATATATAAAAGATCAAATTTTATTTTATTTTCATATACTTCTCCCCCCTTTTTTCTACTCTTTCCTTATGCTAGGAAATAAGCTCAACTAGTAATGAGTGAATATGTTTTGTAATTTTTTCATATACTTTTCCTTTCTTTTTTTTGGTTTGAGCAAAGAAACAAGCTCACGAAGTAATGATTGTTGGGCGATCCTGAACGCGTTAACTACATACACGATTTGAAGATGTGGGTCCCCAATAAATAATGGCAGCCTAAAAGCAAGTGTCACAATGTATAATCATATGATTTTTTTTACTAAAAGAGGGGCCACCGCCTCTAATTTGTATATTAAATAAACATATCTCTCGAGCCCTGTTACACACTATGAGCAGTATTCAAAGCATTACAGCTGACATCGCCACAGATCACAAGCAGCAAACCCAAAAGAACCAGCTAGGCCTACATCAAGGCAAAGCTAGCCACAACCAACATAGACAACAAATCCACATGCAGACTCCATTTAGTTATAAACATATGGGAGAATCGATCACACATTTCTAACAGAGTTAAGGCGAACATTTAAAGGAAACAAAAGAACCTCGAGTAGCAGCAAACATCTGTCAAACAGCAGCAGAGGCACACCAACTTGTAGATCTAGCCACCAATTCTTGAGATACCAGGTCTCCACCCCTGCGACAACTGGAACACCTCACTTGCTACTTGTTCTAGAAGCTTTGCCCCCGGCTAGGGCTGGAAAAAAAGCTCAAAGCTCGCGAGCTAAAAGAGTAGCTTGTGACTTGGCTGGAATCGACTCGAACTCGAAGAATAACGAGTCGAGCCGAGCTTTAGTTTAAGATCGTTTATAGACCAAGTTAAACGAGTCAATCTGGCGAGTACTCGTGTAACTCGTTAGGCTCGGTACAAAAGATCAGCGACTCCCAATACAAAAAAAGATCAGCCACTCAACACCCTACGCCCCGAGCGCACAACACAAGGCCCAACTATTGAAGGCCCAACCACCTAGGAGACTCATGCGTTACAAGAAAATTATAATTGTTTAGTAATATATATGGTTAATATATACATAATCATTTTTATCATATTTGAGGGTTTTATGCTCATATCTTTAACGAGCTTAACAAGCTAAACGAGCCAGCTCGCGAGTTATATGAGTCGAGCCAATCTTGGGTTTGAGCTCGTTATAATAACGAGTCGAGTCGAGCTAGCTCGTTAAGGAAACAAGCTCTAGCGAGTCAAGCCGAGCTGGCTCGACTCGGCTCGAATTCCAGCCCTACCCTCGGCGCCAGAAGCTTTGGTTTTCCTCCTTTATCTACAAGATAGACCATTTAGATAGCCAGTATCCAATCAGTTTAATTAGGACATACCAAAGGATCATTGATAGTTTTTGTTGGAAAATAATATCACTTTTGCATTTCCGAATAGCTCAGAATATTGCGGAGACTCCTACCAGAACCAATCCATTATCATTTTTTGGGAATTCTTTTATCCAATTCCCAAAACATTCATGCGAAAATGTAGGGGGTAGAAGGTAGACTAAATGGGCGGAGACTCTCGAACACAAAAAATAATCCCTTTGAGGAGCCGCATGAGGTGAAAATCTCATATACGGTTCTGTAAAGGGACAATAAGGGTGACTTATCTGTAGACTTTTCCACTATCAATCCCAAAAATCCCAACTATGCCTTACGTAAAGTTGCCAGAGTACGATTAGCCTCTGGATTTGAAATAACGGCTTATATACCTGGTATTTGCCATAATTTACAAGAACATTCTATAGTACACATTTCAGAAGACTCTAAATTAAACTAGTCGCCGAGCACCGAAAAAAAAATGATCATGCTCCCATCTCTTCCAGAAAACACATAGTTTCATTGTCAATCCACCATCTCCTAAGCAGATTATCCTTACTGTGAATACTTTTCTTAGATATAAGCCATAAAAAACACCTTTATTTTAAGAGGGACTTCAACTTTCCACAAAAATGTCAAGGGAAGGTTAAAATCAGATTCAATCCATTTTCTATACAAGGATTTAACTATAAAATTATATTAGTTTTTACCATCGTTTGACCTTGGCAACATCTATTCTCATCTCAATTTCCTCACTTCTTAACTTCAAACTATTTCATAAATCCAAGGATTCCCCATAAAGGGTTCTTCTAAATCTAAACCCACCCTAGCCTTTCTGAATTGCCTCAGCAACAGTAATATTATTATCAAAACTGAGCAAGTACAACCTGGGGTAAGCTAATTTAAGTGGTTTGATATCTACCCACTAGTCTTCCCAAAATCTGGTATTTCTGCCACCCCTTAGTTTTTTTTGATGATTTGGTATATACTCCTATATATTTATCCTGCGTGCTGCTCGGAAGTTAGCCCTGCTGCCTTCCGCCCCTTAAAAACATTGTAAGGATAGAAAAAGGATTACTACACATGCCTTTGCGTGGAATAACTACCTTTTTTCTTTTCTTGTGCATGATAGTAAAATCAGCAGAGAATATGGTAACCAAGTTAATCTGGTTACTGCTGCACCTGTAGCTTCTCCGTCTGTCAGATAATTAGGGTGTGCAGTAATAAGCTATGGAAAAATAGTAACAATATTAATTGGGTTACCACTCACGCACCACTTTTCATTTTTTTACCCTTCAAGTGTTCTCTACAAAAAAAGAGCGAGGTAGTAATTCGTTACTACATATCAACATATTTTTTGCTAGGTTTACCAGACGCCAGGAACCATCTCTATTTTTTCGTTGGTAAAACATTTACTTTCATTACCATCGTTTTACTCCTAATAATTTGTGAGAAAATCATATGTAGTAATTTATTGCTACATATAACATGGTTTTACTAGGAGTACGAGCCGAGGGATACACTGGATCCTATTACCATCTCTTCTATCCCTATTACCGCTGACAATTTGTGAGCAAAACACGGGTAGTAATTCATTACTACATATAAGCAACATGAGCCGAGGGATTCATTGCTTGGTAAAGCACTTGTAGTAATTCATTACCATCTATTCTGTCCCTGTTATAGCCGGCAGGTCCCTCCGCCCGCTGTGCCTTCCTCACCTCCTCCACCGTCATCGTCGCCGCCATTGATCTCTACGTAAGCTACCAGCGGCTGACAAGCTAGCTAGTAGTTACCTCAACAGAGGCTCTGTGTGACGTGTAAGTTTGCGGGATAGAGCAGGAGGTAGATGAATGACAGATGCTGTGTGTTGATATGAGTGTGGGGGACGTACGGCATATATACGTGGGAAGGGTGGCCGCGGGGTGAAGGGGTTTGGTGAGTTGGACGGGAGGATGGATGGCCACGAATGCG